AGGGGTAGCCCCGTGAGAAAAGGCCTGAGAATGGTTCAGAGGCTAATGACCACGAGGGCCATTTTGCTTTTTTTCCTTACAAAATAGCTTAGGCACCCCTATCTTGTACAAAGCGTTTCTAAATTGCTGGGATGTGACACATTCCAGGTAAGTTTTGGGGTGGTAGGGGAGTATTCTCAGGATAGAGTGATAGGTTCCCATTCTGGTCCTAGGAATCCTGGTTGAGGTAGGAACATGAGGGGGTCCCAAACCCCCAGGCCCCTGTGACCCAAGTGGAGATATGGATGGGCCTTACTATCCAGAGGAGCCAGGACAGTAAGAGATCAATCAAGGACAAACCCCTCTTCCCCTTCTGGGGTGCAGGCCATGCCGGCATTTCCCTGGCACGCGGCCGCCGATCGTCACTCCAACTCTGGCAGGAGAGCTCACCGCTGCCACTGTGCAGATGAGGAAATGGAGGCCCAGATACTTCTGACAGAAGGCTGTTTTTGGCTTAAGCATGTCAAGTGCATCATAAAGCAGTGCCCACTACCTTGGCCTGCAGAGCTGCCAGGCAGGCGAGGTAAATGAGGTCCCAGGGAAGAGGGAGGATCCCACGGGGTGGCCAGGGAAGTCCCCCTGAGGAAGTGACATCTGAATTTGGCCCTGAATGAGGACTGAGGAGGTAGCAGCTGTGTGAGGATCCGGGGAAGAGTATCCCAAGCTCCTAAGCTGAGGGAAGGACACCAAGGTGCCGAGATGGGAAAGAATCTGATGGCTGTAAAACGCCTCAGGACGCTGAGGTGACTGCTGCTCGGGGAGAGAAAGAATGGTGCAGATGAGGAGGGGCAGTCGGCAGGGGCCGGCCACCCAGGCACTTGGGCTGTGGTGAGTGGTTTGGACTTTACTTCAAGAGCAATGGGAAGTCGTTGTAGGGCTTAATCAGGCCAGAGATGTGATCTGATTTATGTTTTTAAAGGACCCCTTTGGCTACTATGTGGTGCCCAGATTGTGGGTTAGGGTGGAGGCAGGGGGACCCTGGAGGAGGCTGTTTCTGCTGGCTGGGTGAGGGAGGGTGACTAAAGTGGAGAAGTGGAAGATCTGGGGTGCTTGAAGGGGAGCCCACTAATCCCTTCTTTGTCTTCATCTGTCAGACAACTCTGAACCGCCAGGAAGCTGTTCACTGGAGCCTCCTCCACAGCCCAGCCAGGCCAGCTCTGCCCAGGACTCCCCCACCCGGGCCTGTTGTGACAGCACTCCTCCGGCCAGGGCCTGGTTTGTGTCTATTCATCTGTCTCCTCTGCTTAGCCAGGCACTCCCAGAGGTAGACACTGGTTCTGAGCCGTCTGGGTGCCTGACTCCCTCCTAACAAGTGTCAATCCAAACAGGGCTGGTGACCAGCCATCACTAACCCCCTCGCTTTCCCACCCCCCAGCAAAGTCCATTTCCCTCCGAGGGGTGTGCAGGGCTGGGTAAATGCATTTCTGCAGAGCTCCCAGACAGGCTGGCCACGCGTCAGCAGCACTTCCTTCCTCTGAGTCTTGCTTACACCCTCACCTCCCGCTCCCTCAGCGCTGGTTTCCACAACCCTCACCTGGACCTCAAACCTGGGAGTCAGGGAACATGGGCCTGATGGCCAGAAGCCCACGCAAGAGTCCACCATCTCAACTGGACACCTCCCCACTGGCATCCAGGCCTACTGGGTTGAGGCATGCCTGAGCACCGGGCCGGCTGTGAACATCAGGCCAGTGAAGCAGCCCAAGTCCCTGCAAAAGCCAAAAGGCTCAGCTTTCTCTTTTTTTTTTTTTTTTAATTGAGGTAATTCCCATACCATAAAATTCACCATTTTAAAGTCCACAGTTCAGTGGCTCTTAGTATAGTCACACGGTTGTGTTACTGTCACCGCTATCTAATTCCAGAACATATTCATCACCCCCCCTAAAAAAATCCACACCCATTAATGATTACTCCCCATTCCCCTCTTCTCTCTCCCCCTGGCAACCATTCATCTGCTTCCTGTCTTCATGGACTTGCCCATTCTGGACAGTTCATCTAAACGGCAAATGGCTCAGTAGCCTTCCAGGCCACAGGCTCCAAGCAGAGCCCATTGCAGGTGTCACAAGAGCAACGTGATCTATCCTTTTCAAGATGAGGTTTTGCACCCGGCTGTCAGTCCCACACTTTCATGAATCTGAGTTTCCCAGAGGAGTGCAGCCCTACTCATCCCCGAATTGCCTCAAAATCTGGCCCGGGATCACTGCCCCCAGGTCTCAGAACAGAGAAGAGAAAACAAAACAAACACAAGCAGTAGCTAATGGTCTAGGCCAGTAACCCTCCACAAGTCCACACTAGCTGCTGACAAATGTCAGCCGTGAAATAAACTTTGACCTGCTCTACCAGTCCCAAAATAGTTTGCAAGAAGCCAAGTATCAAAAAGGAACAATATTTTTTTTTGGAAAAAAACTATCTATCTCCTTTTGCCCCATGAGCAGGCTGTGAGGTGGTCACTTGGCTCATTGCTCCTGGCAAGATTCGAGTCAGCCTATTTTGAGGTATTCAACATGGGAGCCTTGTGGGCATTCTACCCACACAGGCAGGTAGATGCCCGGCGTGTTTTCCCACTCTAGGGAGGTCAAACGATGGGCTTTGAGCTCTTCTGCACAACTGTTGACCACTTGGATTCTTTCAGAGACGGTGAGACAAAGGGTGAGGGGAGCATGTTCCAAGGCCCATGGCAGGAGCCGGGCAGCAGGTCAGCTGTCCCCCGAAGATGGGCACGGGAAAGCATAGCTTTCGAAAAAAATCTCCAAAGGCTGCTTTTCCTCAAGGTCCCGGCAAGGGACTCCCGACCCACTATAAGAGTATCTTTTCTGATTCCAGACACATGGACCTTGAATCCCATGATAAATGTGCTCCCAAAGCACTGCTTTTGCTTTTTAGAACCCAATCATATTTTAAATGTCCACACAACTCTGCGAGTAACCCGAGCAGCTACTCTTGCTTGCTATGGGTAATTATCAAAGTGGCTTAAAAGAGGCTCCTCTATTTCACATACACCTTCCATGCCCAGCTGAGGCCCTTGTCTCTGTCCCTGTCTCCAGCCGTGTGGCACAGCCACAGTCAGGACACAGAAAACGAGTGCAGAGCCTGCACTGGGCGGGGAAGAGGGTGACTTGCCCCTATAGGAAGGGTGTGACACAGAGAACTATATCTTCGTAAACCAAAGTTACCTCAATTAAAAAAAAAAGAAAGCAGGCAATGCATCTTCGGTAGCCTAAGATCCTGAAGTTGATAAAACTGGTGAGTGGTGTTGTGTCTGCCCCTCCTGCCCCAATCTTGCTGCAGAGAGCCGCTGCCTACTCTCACCATGTGAGCTAAAGGACACCACCAAATGGTCCCCTCGCCACACCCTTACAGAGAACAAGGCCCCCGCACCCCAGCACGCTCACCACTTGCCTACACTGTGAGAGCAGCTCAGAAACACTGCCTTTCCCTAGCACTGCTGTGGAGTCACACGAGGTCGGGATGGAGCCTGCCCTGCTAGGGCCATCCTTAGGCCTAGGCCTTCTGTCAGTCATGTCAGGGACCCCAGCCCTTTATCCAAACACCTCACCTGCTGGCGGTATGGCTGTGTTAAGTCAATGTGGCCCCAGCTCTAAGGGTTCACACGGTGCAGGGAACCCCAAAGCATACTTGTTAAGCAACTGCTCACAAAGAGTGGGAGGTCTCTGGAGAGAATGGCCGCATGGGGTGGCAGCAAGCCCCCTTCATCATTGATTTAGAAGGAAGCAAACAAAGCCTCACAGAGCCACCTCGAAGCAGAAAGGGTACTCAACCACAGGCTCACTTTACAGATGAGGAAATGGGGGTCCAAAGGGGAAGGAGCTCATTTCTACAGTCAGACTCTATCTACCAGGTTCTACATCCCAGTTTCTGGAGAGAAACTTCATTCTGTCTTCTCACCTCCCACGAGCTTCAGCATGAAACTACTCTCAAAACCAACCCTCCTCCTCACTCCTGATTTGAAACAGCTCAGCAGTCACCCTCCTCCCTCCCAGTGACCCCCATCTCTAGCCATGTGAGCCTCCCACCTGCTGACCCCCAACTGTGTGCTGGGTTTACATTTGGACCCAACACCCACCCACCAGAGCTCCCCAAACCTTTCATGTGCTATGGGGAGCTCTAACCTCACCCCCAACTTGGGCCAACTGAGGGCAATCTGCAAGACTAATCTGATTTTCCCACTTCAAGTGCAGTTTTACTGCTCCAAAGCACTCAGAACAGGCTCTTCACACTTTAAGTCATCTGTACCAATGGACAGAAAAGCATGGGAATGATCATGAACTCTTTTCAAAGCACTGGTACTTCAACACTTAGCTTGCAAATTCATTAAACAGGCTTCTTGCCCACACTATTGATCTGAAACACCTCTGCAAAGCCTTTCTCCCAGGTGCCGTGCATCTGAGACCCAGCCAATTTCACAAAACCCCACTTTCCACACATGGTGTTCAGGGTCTCTGGCAAGGGTGCTGATGCTCTCTACGAGTTGGGCATGTTTCTCCTGCACAACCAGGAGATCTGAAGCCGACGGGCTTTCTGCCCATTCCTAGCAGGGAGGTCTGGGGCTCAGTGGAAGAAAGTGAGTGCAAAGCTCACAGCTCAGACCACACTGCACGCATCACCTCCCCAGCGGAGGAGGGGATTGAGAGCAAATGTTCCCTGGACAGACCCCACCCTAGCACTGCACAGCACCAGGATCCAGCCTGCACCTGCTTGTGCGCAAGCTGGGAAGACAAAAGCCAAAAGCTAGAGGGGAGGGGGAGTACCCAGGACAGACCTCCTTTCAGCAGAGTCCTCCTTCTGGTTCAGATCCCATTGGGTGTATATGGGAAAAGAAACTAGAAGAGTTCTCAAGGATCAATTCTGTTCTGGGCACAATTCGCTTCTTATTCATGCCTCACATACCTGGTCAAGAAGTTAGCAGGCAGGAGGAGGTAGGCTCGGCTGCTGGGGCCACTTACCAGAGGGGGCTGCGGCTGGGGGTGCTGCCCTGCTCCCGAGTGGGGTGGGTAGTGCATGAGCAGATTGAAAGCGGAGTAGACGGTGTCTTTGTACATGCCGCTGGCGCACTCCGGGGCCTTCAGGCCTGGAAAAACCACAGCTGGGTCAGAATCCCCGGCCTAGGAGGCTCGGGTTGAAGACTGCGCTCCAGAGAAAAACCTGAGAATTGCCAAGAAGTCTTCAAGTTCGTGACTTGAGAAGGTACGGGCTGGGGGTGCCTGCAGTGCAAGTTTTGACTCAGGACTCCGAGTCCAGACCTCCCTTAGGCGGCCCCTACTTGACCCCCCAATCCGGAGGACCGAGGAACTTAGGCTAACAGCTTTCTCCTCAAGACAGGGGATTAGTCAATCACCTGGGCAGGAGGGGAGGTGGAGATGGTGGGGGTCTGTTTACTCCTATAAAGGTCAGGGCACCGGAAGTGACTCGAGCCTAGCGGCGCCGGGAAACCCGCCCCCACTCCCCCCACCCCCTCGGTTTTACCGCCTCCTCGAGCAGCAGTTGGGGGAGGTACCCCCTCCGCACCCTCGGGTTCTCCGCAGCCCGGCTCTCTCCCACGGTGGCCTGGGCCTTAGCGGGAGGAGGGGTCCGGCCCGTGCAGAAACTCACCATCCTCTAGAGACTCTGGAAGTTTGTCCGGGAAAAGTCTCTGCGAAGTGTGTTCCCGCCCGAGAGCCTGCGGGGAGATCCAGAGGGGTCTTGAGGGGCCCTGGGACAGCCGGGGGCTCGGGGTTCGGGGGCGGGGGGACTCTAAGAGGTGGGGACCCCGGGATGGCCGCGGGAGGGAGGGGAGGGTCTGCGCAAACCGAGATCCAGGGGCGGGCGCGCTCCGCGGCCGCCGGGGAGGAGCGGGGCGAGGGCCGGCGCTCACCTCGGCCCCGACCTCGGCCTCGCCGCGGGCCCCGGCGCCTGCCCCCGGGACCCCCGCGCCGCCGGCCGCGCCCTCGGACTCATTGACGAGCGACGACTTGAGCTCGGCCAGGTCGCGCTCGGGGCCCGCGGCGCTGTCGCGGCTCTTGTCGTCCTGCTCCTCGCCCTCGTCCTGGAAGGCCAGCAGCTCGTCGGGCGCCCCGAGATCGTCGCCGCCGCCCGCGCCGCCCCCGCCGGCGTCCAGCTGAGGCATGGTGCGCGCCGCCCGTGGGGGCGCGGGGCGCCGGGGTGCGGGACGCGGAGCCGGCCCGGGAGGCGGCGAGCCCGGAGTCCGGACCTCCGAGCCCGGAGCGCGGCGGGCGGAGCGCGGGCTGACTCCGCCTGGGCGGGCTACGGGCGCGGGGCGCGGGCGCCAGGCAGAGCTGCTCCGGGAGCTGGCGGGTCGCAACATCAAAGGCGCCGCCGGCGGAGTGCCGGGGGCGGGGCGGGGACGCCGGGGGCGGGGCCGGCGGGGGGCGGGGCCACACCGCCCCGCCCCCTCCTCGCCGGGAGCGGCCGCGGCGCGCCGGGTCCGCACAGTCTTAAAGGGCTCGCTCGCTCCCGCGTCACCCGCGGCGGCTGGGGACCGGCCTGGAGCGCGCCTCCCGCCCGGCGCCTGCGTCTCCACCTCAGCGGCCGAGGGTGCGGGTGCCCCGGACCCCTGCGTCTTGACGTAGCTTGGAACACGATCCTAGGTGTTAACTGCGTACGTGCCCCGAACCCATTGCGTCCTGTGCTTGGAACAGAGGTGGGGGAGCTTTCTAGAACTTGGGGCCTACGCCCGCCCCCTCGACCTGCAGGGTTGAGACTTGCAGCCCCGTTCTCTGGTCCGTGCTCCAGCCACTCTGGAACCGCCTGCCAGGCCGCCCGCACACAGCGTGAGCACAAGCTTAACCCCCTCACACACTCGCTGAGCGCCTGTGGCATGTGGGGGCTCAGACATCAAACATCCGTGAGGGGCGCCTCGGCTTGTGGCGGCTGCGAGGCCTGGACAAGCCGCAGAGAGGACCAGGAGCCCCCCCCCCCATGCCTGTCCTCCACCTGCACCCCACGGTGCCCCACGACTCTCCCAACTCGGCTCCATGCCTGCAACCTGCGGCCTGGGGTTGCTAGGCCTTGGGCAGCTGCCTGGACCGCGGAGCCCAGCAGGGGTGGGTCAGCTGGAGGAGCTCAAGCCAGGACATCCACGGCAGCGAAGCCCGGGACTGGGACCCGGCGCAGGCTGGCCGCAAGCCGGAGGAGCGCCGGGACGGGCGCGCGCCGGCTCCCCCCGCGTCTGCGAGGCCCCCAGAGTCACGTCCACGCGGGCCACCCCGGCTAGGAAAGACGCCGGCCCTTTGGGATCCCGGTACTGTAAAAGTTACCCCCCTAAAGTTTCTATGTTGGATCCAGTGTAGACGCTCCCCTAACACCACCTCTCCCGGGAGCGACTGGGGCAGAGCGTACTGGGAGGGGCGGGTGTCTTGGACGCCTCTCCAGCTCGGAGCCCCCACAGGACCCCTGGCAGCCACACCAAAGCCAGGCCGGAAGAGGGCTGCGCCGCCCCTCCGGGTCCAGGCCCAGCCTGGCTGGCTGCGGATCAAAGAGCCAGGGCGGTCCTTCTCCTTGTTCAGATCCTACGGGCTCCCGCCTAGCGGGGCGCCTCGGCCCCCCACTTCAGGACTGGATTGCTCACTTTTCCTCCTTTCTGGGAGCTGGAGGGTGGTTGGGGAAAAGTGTTCAGCTTAGCCATGGAGGTGTGGGGAAGACCGTGCGCTTTAGGTCTCCCATTCTCCCTTCCTGGCGTTAGCTTGCAGCTCAGCGTCATCTCAACTGCTTTAGAGGTGGGGGAAGGGGCTCCCCCCCACTCCCCCCCGACACACACACTGCCCAGTCAGGGGGGAGGGGCGGAAGCGGGTTCCACTGCCTCTGCCACCTCAGCTCCTGAGTTTGTAAGATCTAAGGTGGGATGAGCCTCCTCTGGGGATGGTGAACAGGAATACAGGATCTGCCTAGCCCAAAGGCTTTGGGGTGTCCTCGTTTGAGGGTGACCCCAGCTTAGAAGGAGCCCCCTCGGAACGAGGTCCCCAGACCCATGAAGTGCTGGTGGACTCAGGCCAGTGGGAGCTGAAGTTTTATCCAGTCCATGGAGAAAGGAGAAAAAGTCAGGGCAACCATGAAGTGCTTTGTTTGTTTTTCTCATTAAGGCTAAATTTTTCATTTTAAAGTGGTCAGCCTTTAATCAGAAATTATGAACTTTCTGCTTTATTGGTGTGAAAAACAACTTTTCACTAAAATGATGGTATGAATAGGTTTTTTTCTTAGAAAACTATGGCATCTCAAGCATCGATCCAGACCTACTGGATCAGAATCTGCACTTTCTTTTCCTTTTTTTTTTTTTTAACTTTGCTGATTGACTGACATCCAGATGACACGAATATATAAATATGTATCTGTGACTTAAGAACATTGCTTACCATCAGATTTTTAAAAAGAAACTATCATATTAATTTCCTTAAAAAAAACAACTATTCCCCCCATATTATATCATCAAACAATTTGTTGAAACTATTAGCTGTTATAAAGGGGAAAAAGTTACCTACAGGTTTTTATTTTATTTATTTTTCTTGTTTTTCTCCCACAACCATCCCTTGCAACCCCTAATCTTTTTCCCTTCTCCCTCCCTCTTAATCTCAGAGACCTTGCAGTGTTTATTAATGTTTGCTAGTTTTGGTATTTTACTTTATCAAATCATCTGTTCTGTAAATGTTCAGTATTTGGTTTTTTTTTTTTCAGTATTTGTTTTTATTGTTCTGATTTGCTTTTCTATACATCATTCTCTCAAACTCCCTCCATTTTGCTGAAAATGGCTGCATATTGTCTTTCCCTATGGCTGAGTAGTATTCCATGATTGCTATACCGCGTCTTCTTGGTCCAGTTTTATGTTGATGCACATGAGAACAGACATAATTTTTAATATCTTTATTTAGCAAAAGAAAGCCTTGGCCACTCCCTCATTTTTCATCCACCCCCATATTTCTTTAGACATCTTATAGGGCTGCAAAATCCTAAAGTCTAGGAACCACTGCCCTATGGGAATATAGCTCCAGCTATGGGACAGGCCCCACTGGGTGGAACCAGGGGCGAGACAGGCTGAGTCATAGACATCCACAGTCACACTGAAATCAGCCTGAAGGCTTGATGGAACATCTACTGTCTACCTAACCTTGGGTACAATCCATGGAGAGGGGCAGATGAAGGAGGGGGCTCTGCCCTCCAGGAGGTAATCACTGCTGGAGAAGCTGAGAAATTATTCGAATTGAGTTTGTTGCTGGATAAGTATATACAGACCATGGGTAGGAGTTGCTCAGATATGGTGGGATTAATGTGGCTGGAATAGTCAGCTTGGCTTATTGGAAGAGGCCAACTTCATCTGGGCTTAGGAGGCTCTGGAGGGTTTAGAGAACTTGAGAGTGAAAGGAACTTGAACTTGTCCCCAAAGGTAGGTGCAGCCCTACAGCAACTCCTTTTCTGGTTAGCTCTGATTCTGTCATCATGGCATCATGTCAAGAGCTGCACACATATTATCTCATTTCATCTTCATGCCAACCCTATGACATAGGGACTATTATCCTCATTTATGAATGGAAATGCTAAAGCTCAGAGAGCTTGAATAAGTCACCCAAGACCTCACAGCTTAGAAGTGAGGGTGTCAGAACTCCAAACACAGGCCATCTGACTCCTGACCCCACACACCAACTATCACACTGTGGAGTTCCATTATGGCCCCTATAATTCCATGATGCTTTCTGATCTTTGAACTGTCACTAATAGAATCCTGACTTTCTAGGTGGGTCGTGTCACATGGAAGGACCACAGAAAGATTGGGGAATCTCCCTGGCTGGTCTGTATGGGGTGACAGCACTTTGGTGTGAGACAGACCTCAGCCTGTACCATCTCTCCCCTGGGACCACCCTAGACCACCTGCTTTGGGCACTAATTCAGATTCCCATACAGGATCAACAGGCTCTGGGGTTATTCGACTGGGTGGTCAGTGGGATCTGCTGCTGCCCCTTCCTGGAGGTGAGTGGGGAGTTTTGGGAACAGGCCCTACTGCAGGGAGGCCCCAGAGTCTTCTGGATTCGTGCAGTCCAGGTCAAAACTGGAAATTTAATAAGGCTTCAGCTTTATGCAAATGAGTCAGGTGGAGATGCAATGCCCTTATGCTAGTGCAAGACAAAGCTGTGCTCTTAGGAACTGACAGTCAGAGCAAGAGAGCTCTGACTTTGGATTTCAGCAGCCCTGAATTTCTGACTGTGCCCTGCCATTTACTCACTGGGGGACCCCAGACAAATCACTGACCCTCTGTGTCCTTGTCCTCAGGTGCAAATTGGGTATCACACCCAAGTCCGCCTTACACTATGTGACTTGGTTGAGATGAATCATACATCCTAAGAAAGAACTTAGCCCGACGCCTGGCACATTCCAAGTGCTCTAATAAATGGGTGCTCTTGAGCTAGATATTTTTCGGAAGTTGTTAGGCTAATTGGCTCTTCATGTAACGTCATGTAAATCATCTAAATGTTCTCATGGCCTGAGCCCCCTTAATCACAGCTAAGGCCGAAAATATACATTTCCTTTCCTTTCTTTCAAGTTCCTTTAACATGAAAGGCCTGTGTGAACTCCCTGACCTTTTCTAACAGGGAGACCCTTGAAATGTGGCATTTCCAGAAAACGGCTCAAAGGAGCCCCAGATGGATTTAGTAAATTACAACGGGAGAGGTTTGGAGTGGCGTCTCTTCCTGCCTGCCTGGCATCCTGTCGGGGCACGCTGTGCTGCCTGGAGGCTGGGCTCCGGCTTGGGGCAGGAATACTTCCCGTGGAGCCTTCGCTCTTGGGCCTAAGCCTCATCACGCTTCCTCGAGGCAGACTGTGGTTGTTACTAGAAACATCATTTGCTCTCTGGAAACTCTAGTCTCACTGCGTGTTTGTGCGTGTGTGTTTGTGTGTCCACGTGGGTGGTTGTGGCTTGCAGAATGGCAAATACACACAGTTGCCGCAATGAGAACTCTCTGGGTCAGGTACAAAGCAGCAGCCTTTAAAATGAAGCAAGAAGGGTTTGGTGTCATTTTTTTTTTCCAACTTTATTATCTTCCTTGGGGGTCGCTTCCCCTGCCCCCAGATTTAATGCCATAACCACGAATTGCTCTTAAAACAAAAAGTTGGTAATAATGCTAGATGTTAGCTATTCCTGTGAAATGCTAAGGTAAAGTGCAGTCAAATTGGCTTGAGGGGTGGTGGTGCGTTCACAGACAGAGCAGCTCCAGAGCTTCAGAAGGCTTGTTTTGACAATTTCCCACGAGCTGATTTCCCACATTGTGCTAGCCATTGTTCCCAATGAATGGGCTTGAGATTCCTTTACCCAGAGGAATAAAGAGCTCTGGGTTTTCAGTGGAAGGGGTCTGGAGTCACAACTAAGGAGTCAGCAGCAAAGGCAAGCTGGGAGAGGCTGCTGTGTGGCTGCCATATATTGTACCCGCCAGGGCACGCTAGTGACCCAGTAGCTTTGTCGCAGGAAGTCTGTGTCCTGGTCCCCACTCCACCTGGCTTGCTAGATGAACTCAAGTAAGTCCTCTGCGTTCTCTGGACCCAGCAGCCCTCACCTAATTCCAGGGATGCAGTGAGGAGCCAATGATAGGGCCAGAGGTGAGAGACAGGAGGCATCACAAATGCAACTGAAGCCCTGTGTCCATGTGGGGGTTTCACCTCAGCAGATATGTTGACATAGGAGTGTCTTATTAGGAAAGTGCCATTAGACACTTCTTTTTGAGACAGGGCTATTAGGGCTTTGCTGCTTATCCTTAGGGTCTGAGCCAGGACTGGAAAACTAGAGTGCTCAGAAATTTTTGAATAAATGAATACATGGATGGGTAAAAATGATTCACTGCAGCAATCGCTAAAAATCTGAGAAGAAGTAGCAGGGCCTGTACCTACTTTTGAGAAACTTGCTTTCCTGTGGAGGATAGTAAGCTGGATAAAAGTTCTGGGAGCCGGGGAATCAGAAAAATGGTGTGGCATGCAACCTGGCAGTCAGCGAGGGCTTCCTGGAGGAAGAAGGTCTGCCTAGGAGGCAAGTAGGATTTAAGAGGATCAGGATGAGTTCTTGCTTGTAATGTACTTAGCACACCGCCTAGTTCAGAGTATGTAGTTGCTGAGCGGGAACCAGTGTCAATTATTATTATTGTTCCCAGCCCATCAAGGCTGAGCTCTGCACCAGGCCCTTAGATGTGTTTGGCAGAGACTGACGGAGTGAGCAGCTGTCCCTGCAATCCTGCTAGTCGTGGGTGGAGAGCAGAGACGAGGGTGGGCAGGCCCCAGGAGCCTTGCCTTCTGAGGCCAGGCTGACGCTTCTGAGTGTTCAGCCTGAGTGGAGGCTCCTCCTGCCAGAGATGGCCGTCTCCAGATGTCTGCAGGCCGGAGGGAGCTGGCTGGCCTGTGGAGCCCAAGGGCAGAGACAGAACTAATGGGAGGAAATTACATGGAGAGATTTCATCTCAGCTTGAGGAAGCACGTCTACCAGTCAGAGCTGGCCAACCCTGGCCTGCCCCGGCTGCCGACAAAGGCCGTGAGCTCCCTGTTATGAGAGGTGTGTGAATAGAGACTGGGGGCTTCCCCCGCAGGGAAGGCACTGAGGGGATTTTCTATTCTTGAGGCGCCTCCAAAGCCGTGGGCTGTCCATTGTGCTTCCTGTGTGGCTCTGCCCGGCGCTTGACCCAGTTGAACAGGCCTGCAGTGGCTGAGCAGCAGCAGGTTCTGAGGTGAGTGTGAGGGCAAAGGCTTGTAAACCTCTGGTCAGAAACTGGCCTGGAGGGGGAATTACTCTAAGAGGCTGTTCTCGAGGAGGTTAATAACCACATCACCCATTTGGGCTGAGGGCATAGAGCCTGATCAGGCCCATTCTGTGCCCAGATGTGCCCCTTTGGACTGTTGGGGTCCAGAGGACAGATTGGTGGTAGGAGGGGTTTGTTTGTAAATCAGTCTCCCCTCAGTTGCTTCAACTCCTTTTATTTTTTTTAAGATTTATTTATTTATGCATACAAGAGCTGGGGTACAGGCCAGAGATACAGGGGATGAGAGGATTCACCAGAGACAGATTGGGGAACAGAACAGGCAGATTGACCGAAGTACACTGCTGAGGGGAGCAGTGGGCGAGACAGGAGAGGTCTGCTGCGCCATCTGGGTTGCTCCCTGGCAAGGCTGGGGATCGAACTCGTGCGGCAGAGGCTGCGGATTGCTTCACAGTGCAGTGCTTAACCCCTTGTGCCGCCAGGGAGGCCCAGTTGCTTCAACTTCTAAAGCCAGGGACTGGAGGTAAAAGATGGCAAGAAAGCAGGAAAGAGCCAGGGGTTTGATTTTGGCTCTGCCACTTGGTAACTCTGTGACTTTGGGCAAGTCACTTAACCTCTCTGTACTTTAGCTTTCTCATCTGTAAGATGGGATGATGGTACTACCTCTCTCATTGGATTCTGGTGAGGGTTAAGCGAGTTTTGTTTTGTGGGGTGCTTGCAATAGTTTGTGGGTATAGTAAGTACCTCTAAGTATTGGCTAGATAGTAAAAATTGATTGAGCAACCTATGCCCAGCCTAGCACTGCGCAAGGGGCCTTACATTAATCATCTTGTTTAGTCTTCACAACAGCCTAATGAGGTTGAAAATACTATTATTAGGGAAAGTGATTCTGAGAAGGTCAAGTTCCTTGTCCAAGGTCACACAGCTGGTGGGAGGTATGGTTGACACTCAGGATGGTCATTCTCCTCAACCTGGGCTCTCAGTCACTTGGCTCTGCTGTGCCAGGAGTTCGTAGCCTCTCAAGGGAGGTAAAGTGTCCAGTAGAGCAGAGCAACAACAGATCAGTGGGCCAGAGGTACCACCCACCTAGCTCAGAAGTCCTCTCTTGCCACTGTTACCTGGGAGAGATTTTGCTGATTAATTTATGGAAACAATCCTAAGTCACCCAGCTTACAAATTGCAGTCCTGATTCCTCCAGCTGAAGAATCTCCATTGTAGGGTCTTGAGAGCAGCCTGCGTTCTGGGCTGGTTTGTTTGCCATGTGGTGACTCTGCCACCTCCCAGGGTGAGGGGCAGGAGCTTGGAGACCTGGGCTCCCTATACTGTCTCACTGGGTGAGGGTAGGACTATGGGCCAGGTGTCCTGCTTGCTCCTCCTCCTCTTCTAACTCAGCAGGACTCCTCTGTCTTGCTCGTAACTGTGTCCCTCAGATTGAGCAGGGGCTGGCAGAGAGAGGATGTCTAATAAGTATTTGTTGGACCCAGGAATAACTCCAGATGCTTGCAGTGCACTTTACTGTTTATAAAACACCTTCTCATCTGTTATCTCATCTGATCCTCACAACAACCCCATTTTACAGATGAGGAAACTGCGGCTCAGAGAAAGGAAGTGACTCGCCCAAGGTCACACAGCTCAAACCCTGATCTCCAGGTTCCCAGTTGAGTCTAGCTCTGCAGCCCACGGAAACATCTCCGCCTTTCTCGTGTGAGGATAATGGGAGACAGCAATTTTACCCCAGTTTGTAGAAAAACCCGATGGCCTATTTTGGAATAGCTGACACGCTACTTAGAAATGGTCAGGGGAGATGTATTGTCTACATGGAATATAGTCACAGCAGGACTTCTGATGGTGAGACAGTGGGCCTCAGGGATGGGGAGGATCATTTATTCCTATACTGGATTCTTTTCCAGTCTCTCCTGGGCACCATCACAAACAAGTCCATGCCCTCTGCTACCTACAAGGGAGGGGGTTCCAAGTCACTGTTCCAAAAGTGGGCACCAAGCTTTGCCTCATATGTGGGAATGGCATTCTGTTTCCTGGAGATAGAGCACCTGTCTCCAGGGATACCCTGGAGTATCCAGGGATACCCTGGGTGTTTGGGATACCCCTCTCCCCCAGCCTGAATATTTGGGATACCCCACTCCCCCAACCCCATGCCTCCAACCTCTGGGCCTGCTGAGGGATCTAGGGGTGGTGGACGGCTTAGGAGCGGGCCCCATGGTGCAGCGGTGAAAGTGCATCTCTTCACCTTTGGGTCACTGCTGAGCCTCTGCTCATGACTGCGGTTTCCTTGTCAGCTTTGCTGTTTTTACTTTTGGTTCACTGCTCTATTACTGACATCTTAAAGGGTTTCCCCCTCTTGGTCAAGCTTTGTCTTTTGTTGTTATAATTAAAAAATTTCTCTCCCTCTTCTCTTCCTTGGTAGAAGTTGGAGCAGGAGGTGGGTGGGAGGCTGGTTTAAAAGCAACTTCCCCCTACATCCTCATCTCCCTGCCCCTGCCCTGCCCTCAGGCCTGAGAGACCCCCAAGAAAGACCCAGCTGTGACAGCAATGTCTGGGGGAGAGGCACTGGGGATTGTTTTTCCTGTTCCAAGTGGGAGATATAGTGCCTCTAGCCCTGTGCATACCAGCCCCCTCTATGCCCTGACACACATTTCCTCCAACATTCTTTCCTTCTCAAGTCTTCTCCCACTGCTGGGGGGAGCTTCTGGCACACTGAGCCCGCTGACTATAAACAAGTCACCTCACTTTTGGGGGGCCTGCAGAGCCCTGGGAAAACAGGGCATCTGAACAGGTGAGGGATGGTAAAAGGTGGTCACCATGCACGGGGACAAAGTGTATTCTGATTCTTTGTGGACTGGATCTCTGACCCCAAATGCTCCTTCTGAAATTCACAACCTCCCCGGTTGGGCTGAGGATTTCCTCAGTTGCAGCTGGCAGGGCCACAGCAACTGGCCTATTGCATGGATTCCCCGCTACATGCCTGGGGCTGGGGAGCCCCTTCCATCCCAAATGTGGGGCCTCTGTCCATGATTGGTTACTGGGCGGGCAGTACTGCAGAGGTGAGGAATCCCCAGGCACCCAGACATTAACTTGAATTCCTGCTTTGACCTTAAAGCCAAGGAAATTCTCCCTGCCTCTTGTTCAGCCCTGTACCAAGGGCCCCAGGCTGGGAAGAAGTCCCCAAATGTTTTCCCTGGCTCCTCCTCTGAGGTGGGGCCCAACTGCTCAGGCTCCTGTGACTGGGTGGCTAACCATTTCGTTTGTGTTTGAAGATAAGATTCAGATCTGCAGGGGAAACACTTAAAACCCCTTTGGTTGCTGAGACTTATGCATGAGATGGACCCGCAGTGCGCCTCACCCCCGCCTGGGAAATGCTGCCTTGGCCTTTCCTCTGCACCACAGAAAGTCCCAAAGGTGCCCCGGTCACCAGCTCGAAGGCTTATAGGGGAAGCTGAGCTGTGATGTGGTGCAGCGAGGGCTGGGTCGGTCTCGATTACTGCTGGTGCAGAGCCCCAGAGAGCAGAATGCTAGCCACTGACACTGTAGACAAGGGCCTGGTGTAGTTAAGTGTCCTGGACGGCAGATGGGGTTGTGCAGGGATCCAGGGAGGGGAGCAGCGGGGACCAGGATGGTCAGGGAGGGCTGCACACCGTGGAACAAGGGTGCTGGAAGCAGGGAAGTAGGGAACCATAGGAACAGACTTTAAGGGGTGATCCTCCCCTGTCCTGCCTTCCCTGAAACAACTCCATGCATTGAGGAAAGCCAGTCTGTTAGAGCTCAGAGTTTCAGGAGAGTCCCCAGCACCCCAAAACATGTAGATAGGGGAAACTGAGGCCCAGAGAGACAGGAGTCTGTCTGTGTCTCAAAAGCCATTTAAGTTCTTTCCTCTGACTCCAAAGCCCAAAGAACTTGAGGGCCCGCTACCTTAAGCTCAGGAATTCTTGAAATGAAGTAAAACAAACAAGCAAAAATCCAAACTGTTCATTTTCTTGTATTGAGCATCATTGCTTTTATGATAAATAATAGACCATTTAATGTTATTATCCAAAAAAAATGCAGATGGCAATTAAAACCTTGGGATCAGGTAAAGCCTGGCTGCCGGCTCCTTTGGTCTGGCCAGTGACCAGGTGGCTCTTGCGACAGCCCCACCCCTCAGTGCAGGGACATATGGGTGCTGTGCTCAGGCACCCCCTGGTGGCTGGCTCTGGAAGAGCTGTCCTTGAACCACAGGTTGGGGAGTCAGAAGGGTGATGCCTGGGCCCTGAGTCCCTGGCTGCACCCACTGTTACCATCACAAACAAGTGGGTGATGCTAGGTCTCACTGGCAGTCCCCAGGATGCTGTGACAGGATCTCACAAGGGTTCTGGAGCAGGCATGGTGAACAAACATCCTGGTTCAACTGACCACGGAAGGGCATCTTTTAAAACAGAACCACTCACATGGGACCTAAATAAAGAGGGTGACAGTTTGCATAGGAGACTGATGTTGGCATTTGTTTCTGAGCCTCACACCTGAGCCCCAGCTTTGATGTTGACGACAGAGCTGTGATGCACAGCTGGTGAGGACCCTCAGGAGGAGGGCAATGTTTCCTGAGAATGACCCAGGGGTCGGGAGTCCCCACCACTATCCTGGATCAGCCACTCAGGCTGGTGGGGCTCTGATAGCAGTGTTAGCTCATGGTAGGCCTCCATGGGTGCTGCCTCACACAGCTGTGAGGCAGTCACTTTTTTTTTTTTTTTTTAAATGAAAAGTCTCAAACAGGGCCTCCCTGGTGGCGCAGGGGTTAAAGTCTCAGCACTATCAAGCTATCACCAAGCTACTGTGGCAAGAGTTAGATCCAGGCCAGGGAGCTACCCACATGGTGCAGCAGACCTCTCCCTGCTCGCCCGCTGCTCCCCTCAGCAGTGTATTTCAGTCAGTCTGCTTGTTCTGCTCCCTACTGTCTCTGGTGGATCCTCTCACCTCCA